CACCGTTGTTGAAAATTCATACACCCTGAGGCGCAGCCGAATGGGTGTATGAATTTTCAACAACGGTGTAAAATTCCGTACACCCCTGATTACACCAAGATAACGAATTTATTTCTTATAAACAATTCCTTTACTCATTTTCAAACCGGGATGTAAAATTGAAAAATGCTAATGAAAAATTTCCAGTGTAACATTTCTTCAACGTTGATGTTGCTGCGTAATTCTTTGTCAAATACTTTTTTTCTTTATTTTTGGGAAATTCAGAAAACAAATTTTGTTCTTTTGAATTTTCGGGAAAACAAAATTTTTTAAATTTTTTTACAAATTTTTTTACAAATTTTTGTCCTCAAATTTATTTATTTTTTATTTTTCATATTTTTTTTTTTTTTGAAATTTTATTTATTTTTTTTATTTTGGCAAATTTTTTATTTTTTTATTTTTTGTCAAACTTTTATCCCGGGTGAACAAGGGTGGGGTGTTATTTTCACCGGGGTAATTAACCAATCAGATTGCAGTATTTTTGCTGCATAAGAAATAAATCTTTTTACTTGTTAAAATTTTTGCATGTTTCTGGTATTAAATTGGCAATGTCCAATGAAAATTTACTGTAAATTATAATTGATACTTATAGGTGCATACTGAACTGTGATAGAAAATATGCAACAACGCTGAAAAGTATATACCAAGCCATATGCTACGACTGTGAGCCTGGAGAAATAAATGATATAAGCTTTCAATGGTCATTACAAGGGATAAATGTTCCACCATTCGATTTTAAGACAATGACGTTGACAGGTAACTCTACATAATCTCACGTTAAAAACCCGAACAGACGAGGTTTTAAAGAATTTATTTCTTTTATTATGATTGCTTTGTAAATATATGAAAATAGTTTCCTATGAAAATATTTAATGAATTGTTTCAAAAACAGAATACAATGCAAGACAGGAAAAAATCATAAAAATACTTTACAAGATTGAGACGAACGTAGTACATTTATATCAAATTATTGCCAGCAAAACTCGATACTTTGCCAATTAGTCAGAACGAAGTTTAAGATTAAGACAATCTATTGTCTTAGCAAGACAAAATAAAACGGACAGACAAGCAATGTTAACGGCGAATTACATTTATGCGCATTTGGGGATTAAATTTTTTTACGTTTGCGCGCAGCTTTTGATTACATTTCACTCATTCATTTTACACAGGTAAAAATAAAGATAATTCATAATGAGTATGACTATAGTTATGATGAATTTTGAACATACTTGTAAATTTAAATTATATGTTTTTCATATTGAATTCTAAAAAAATATAAAGTGATCATGAGAAATTCCGTAAAAGCTTAAAACATACATGTAACTTAATTGCGAATATTTCAGAGTAAATTGTATTCTGTTTCCTAATTTTATAGAATAGTAATCGCTTTAGTATTATTTAAGTCAGTTTGTAAAGTTGCATCAAGGCACAAACATGGAGCTTCGTTTATCAGAAACAAGTCGGAAGAGAAATCATTAGTGTACGATGGAATTACTTTCCGTATCGACAGAACTTTTAAGTCAGGGGATATTTCATGGCGATGCACCGTAAATAATTGCTAATGTATTTTAGCAGATTCCCTATTTCCTCCAAGTCTTTGGGTATCACTACCGTCAGCAGAACCCAGGTGTACTACAAACCACCCGGAATCATTCCATGCTTACTACAATGAGCAATTTTATTCAGCACATCCATGTACTAATAGTATTTTTTGTGTTTCGTGTTTTCTTAAAGCAGTGGGTTGCAAATATTCAGAACGTTACGACCTGTAAAATCAGTACGTTTAATCTTTAGATTTGCTATGTTTTTACATTTTTATCTGTTTATATTTCCAGGACTAAGTGTTTGTTCATAATAAAACGAACTTATCCTGCTCGAAAATAATAGTTAATAAATAAAGAAGTATAATCTATCTGTATTTACCTGAGTTTACCTGTAAAAAAATGCGCACATATGTAATCAAAAGCTACTTGCAAATATAATGTTAATGCGTGCAAATGTAATGCACCAATGTTATTATATATAATAACACAAACTCCATATGACTGGCTTCGATGAATCAAAATAGATGGACTTGGGACCTGTTGAAAACAGAAAAAAATAAACATTGATATTTAATGAAACGTAATTTTCAGAATTATTTTATCATATTTATTTAGAAACGTGAGTGAAGGGAAACATCGTTTTGTGACACTGTCTATTACCGCTTTGTATATATGAGATTTTTTTTTGTTTACTTCTACAGACATTAACACTGCTACAATATCGATAGCCGCAGATAAGTTAATACAAGGCAGAGAATATAAACTTTGGGTTTCTGCGAATGGTGGATGGGGAAGGACTACAGATATCACACAAACTGGTCGAACACTGTGGACAAATAGCCCACCATATAATGGCCATTGTATTGCAAGTCCAACTAAGGGTAATGTTGATAATTGTATCCAAAATCGGAAATGCACATAATGCCGAGGTGTTAACAATAAACGTACATATGATAAACACAAACTTAACCTTTCTAAAAAGGTTACAAGTACTCAGCAGTATCATAAATTACGTCAACATGAAGCAATAATTTTTGGTAGTTTTTTTTATATCATAAAAATTTCCTCTTATTACAATGATTCAGCTATACCAGTAGTCTTTTTCTCTTATTATTGGCAAGGAATACCTAATTTATACCGATCTTGTCCTGATTACCAATTTGATTGGACGTCTTGTTGATCTCGTTTCTATAAAACTGTTTACTTTTTCTAATTTGACCACTCAGCTTCAAGTGAAAAACATGTAAAAGCTATAACTGCCGAGCTAATTTGAAGAAAAAATGTTTGAGCAGAAAAAAAAACATCTTTTACAATATGTGAAACCTTCATCATTTAATCGTTATGTGTGCTATAAACTTATAACATGAACAGTTAAAAGCCAAGATTGACGTTTTGACTGATTTCGCACTGGAAATTGGCCACTTCTGTTCACCATTTAATTTCTTATATGCTTTGATATTGTTCTGATAAGTTAAGCCCTTTCGAACTGGTTTTTGCAGTTTCTTCCATATCTGTTTTGCTGTTAAATCAGCGTCTAAGGCTTGGGGTAGATTTGAGCACTCACAAACATGTTTGACCCGACCACATTCTTTATATGCCCCCCCCCCCTTAACCTTTGAGCCTGTAATGCAATAGTTCTCGTTAGTTGCTGTCTGCCAAATTTCTTTTCGTTTATTTCTTAACTATAAATGAGGCCGTTGTTTATCTCTTTTGATTTAATTCACATTTTGTAATCCTGGGCCTTTCATAACTTACTATACAGTTTGGCTTTGTTCATTTTTAATGGCCATGCAGTTGTTCGTGTCATTGACGTCCTTAGATTTTTGGTGGTTAGTTATGTCATCAGCAATTATGATACTTTTTATTTTTATATGTATATTTTTAATTAAATTTTAAGAAAGATTTTCTCATTATTTTTATTTGTTTAATCGTTTAGATACGACGATATTGATTGATATTATATTGCAATCGCCTTTTTCGTCCGTCCGTCCGTCCGTCCAACAAATATTTGCATCAGACTTTTCGCAGAAGCCGCTTAACAGAACAACTTTATAATGGATATAAGAAGATGTGGTATGAGTGCCAATGAGGCAACTCTCCATCCAAGTCTACAACTTGACAGAGAGGAGTTGTAACGTGTGCGCCCTTTTACGATCAGACAAACATTTACTCCTTGTTTACCAATACTTTAAATATTTAAATAGTTTGAATACACTTGAATTATTTGTTCAATACTACTATACAGAATTACTTCATATTTGGCAAGATGTCATTAAAGAAATCTCCATTTAAAACTTGTCCACCTAATTTGAATTCATTATATTAGACAAATGACTACAGCTAAATAATTATAGCATGTTTGCTTCAACTAACAGAATTCTTTCTTACATATTGTTTAGGAAATGCCACAACGACCTCCTTTTCTATCTACTGCAGTGGTTTTTTGGATGAAGGAGACAACCTTGATCAAGATAGTGTTAGGGACAAGAATGAAAATAATGCATTAAAATACAAATACTTTGCTGTGGATAAATATATAAACCCTGACGGAACAGAAAGACTGGAAAAATCGGTGTTATTTTCTGGTGGTATGAATGTTTCATCAGTTAATTTTGTCTGTTCTTTGAACAGATAATCTACATTTTCTGAGCAAATAATCAGGAACACAAATTAATACGCGCACTTTTGTGGAATCATTACTTTTTAGTTTTACTTACATTTACTTCGCTTTGTATATAATAATTTATTAAATTTGAGGACTTATTTGATCATTGAGGGAATACCATAAGATATGATCTCGTATGTTTATATTTAACATTAATGATTAAGTTGCTCAACACTGGTTATTGACATTTAAATGACTGTGATTGAAAGTTCATGTAAATAATATTTTTACCTAGTTCCTCCAAATTTTGCTATACAGTTATCTGACTTATCAATTATATTTAATCAGAATTATAAACCCAGAAAACCGCTTCGGATGCACCAAATTTATAAAGTTTTACAATTGTTTGGTAATGTGTCGATACCGCCGCTGGTGGACTGTTAGCTCTCGGGGGTATTATCAGCTCAGTAGTAAGTGCTTGTCATGATTTAAAAACCTTTTTTAAATTATTCGTTTATAATTTTAGCAATATAAAATAGACTAAGGTCAACTTCTACAAGCAAAGTTGACCTTAGATGGATTTTACTATTCTTTTTAGGTGTTTGTTTATCAACTAGCTCTTCACAAATTGGGTTTGAGCGTTTTTTATGAAGGTAAATCCACAAAAGCGCTTCTGACACACCAAAATCATAAGATGTTATTATAATTTTACGCAATTTTTTGGTAAGCATTCACCAAGAAGTAAATACGTGTGTTAGTATTAGGAAAATAAAGTTTAATGAAGAATTATCAGTACACTACTTACATTTTAGGTGAAATGTCTGCTACAGAATTGCGTCTGGCACTGGGTAGCCCTGATTTAGATTACTCTGTGACATTACAAGTGGAAATATCAGACATTTATGGAGATTATGTCACTGAGGAAATGATAGTTAAGGTACATCTTATAATTACTTAGACGTTGCTTACATCAATAAATATAAAGTATATTAATATTAAAAAAAAATTATATTAATAATTGTTTCACAGAGGTGAAAATAAATATTTTTCGTTGTTGAAGGCCATAAGGTTGCCTATATTTGCTTACATTTACTTCATTTGAACTCTGTTGCATAGTCGTTTCATTGGCAATCATACCACATCTCCTTATTTTTATACAGTTTGGGGAAAACACATGGCACCAAGTAAATAATATACTGTGTTCTGTAATTCATCTAGCGGAACAGTCAAAACAGTCCGAACCAATTGAAAGTTTGAATTAATGCTTTAAAATTTACTAAATTTATGTGATAACTTTAATCTTTCGGAAAGCATGGCTATTATAGAATTTGCCCAAGAACTTACAATTACACGTACTATTAGCGCGTGTCCGTTATTGTATAAAAAGGCTATTTGGTTGCATGCCTTTCCATGTGACAAACAAGGCGTATTCAGGCCTTTTTTTTTAATAAAGAGATTAATGAAAATTGTTTTATAATACACCACACAACTTTCATAGAATTGGCTACATTTTAATGCAACGCAGGTCAATACAATAATTGAAATAGTTATCCGTTTAATGAATGAGATGAATAATGAAGAAAAAAATATGAGAAATGTACACTGCTCTGGCAAGGTCACGCTAGGATAATAGCAAGAGTTATTTGTTGACAGATATTTTTGAGCAAGAATTTCTAAGAATCGAGTTCTATCCATTAGTTGAAGGGCTTTTTTTTTATTTTCACGACAGGACCGTAAAAATGTAACTTCGACTGACATTACATGTGACCTTAATAGGTATCATTTCTAATATCACATGAAATAGTTACGACTGCTTATTTTTTAAATGAATAATGAACAAACTCCTGTGTAACAATTAGGTGCAACCAGATACCAGCCTGCAGCCAACAGACGCTGAGGACACAAATGCCGTCGAAAACCTATTCAAAACATTTGAAGAAACTTATGCAATAACGAACAAAGGGGGAAACAAAATGAGCGTTGTCAGAATAGCCAGCGCAACGTCTAGTATGTACAGTCACGTAGATGTTGTAAGTATAGTTTTCTGTTAACAATACCGGGTATTAGTGTGATTAATCAAATGGTCCGATCATACGCGTATGGTCCGGGTAATTAATACAATGTACGTTGAAAACTTACTATTTCTGTATGACCCTTCAATGTGTCACAAATTAAGTGTTTTTTACAATTAAATTTTCACTCATTTAATCATACTATGTTAATTTATTTTTACATGATTAGTAAGATAAAATGAATTTTACTCAAAAGTTATAATTATAGTAAAAGTACTTTTACGTGGTCTTTATCTAGTTTACCTTACGCAAAACAATACGTCGACTTTGAAATAAAACTTTAAAAAATATCTAAATGAACCGTTAAACAAGAAGCCAACTATTTTACTCACAGGCACTTGGGGCATTGGACCTTTCTTTTTTTTTTTTATTTTGCTTTGGTTTTTAAAATTTGTTTTTAGGTAAATTAAAATTTCTTAAATATTTCAAATTATTTTTGTTATTTTAAAAAGTGTTCTTGCTCCTATTCATACGATCTTACAACAACAGAATAGATGATACGTGCTGTCCCTCTATTCTAATGTGGAAAATAAGGTTAGAGGGGCAGTACGTATTTCTTACTATACTTTGCACAATCAATTGAGAGAAAAATATAGAAATTGCAAGAAAAAAACTAATCTAAACACCAGGAAATAAAATCTATACCCAAAACGCCTGTTGTTTCTATAACGAACGAAAAGGCTAAAGTCGCTTCAAATGACACTAGCAGAGGCAAAAAAACCAGACACACTAAGATTCAGACAATATGTCAAATATAAGGGATTTCAGTCAGTAACTTGTGACAATTTTGGTTAAAGAACGAGCTGTGTGTACCTACGAAGGAAGTACCTATATGATCTAAATAGTCATATGGTCCAGCCCGTAAATACCAAACGAGTATTATTAGTTACATAGTGTGGTAGTGACCTAACACGATATATATGGGATCAGTAAATTCCGTATGGGGTGAGATCTAATCCCATATATATCGTATTAGGTCATTTCCACACTGTGTAACGAATTTATCTTACCGACTATCTTAACATGTGGCATTTAGACTAGTAGCCTATCAAAGTGATCAAGTCTTCAATATAAAGAACCTAGTACTTCCATTGGTCTATACAAAAACAAATGCCAACAATAACAACTTGTTAGCTTTTAATGTATTTTCTGCATTTATTTCAATCGTTCATCATCAATTTCTTTGTTTGTTGAAACGTTTCAGATTTTTCCTCAACGCCGTGTTGTTTTAATAAAGGGACGTAACACCACTAATAACCATGTATTAAAATTAGCCCCGCCTATTAACCCCATATGAAATATACACGGTCACCACGCGGACAGAGGTGGATTTAGAGGGTTTTTCAGGGGGCCCGGGCCCCCCCTTTTTTGGAAAAATTTTGGTTGATTATATAGTGAATCACTGAAGCATGACTGGAACGGGCCCCCCTCTTAGGCAGTCAGTGGGCCCCCCTTATAAAAATTTCTGGATCCGCCACTGGCGTTAGCTTTTAACCAATCATATTCCTAGAAATGTATAGGAGGTAAGATAAATACTCATATGGTCCGACCATACCCGTATGGTCGGACCATACGAGTATACGAATATGGTCATGACCATACGCGTATTGCCCGGAACATACCAGGAAGTCAACTATGGAGCGCTGTGATTGGATGCATGGGATAATATATTTTTGAATTTATTTATGAATAAATGCAGTGTGTATATATGTAGGAATCTGAACCGCGATTGTACTCCGAACAGCGATGGTCTCCCTGAAGTGCGATTGTTTTACGCTGAAGTGTGTTTTGATCACACTGAAGTGTGATGGTGGCATAGTGACGATATCTTGTTGATAGCTACGGTGGTAACGCTGAAGTGCGATAGATTACATAAATTATATATTTTCAATGTTTTTCATGTTCACATGTCGATGTAGAAGTCAATTGTTTGTTTATACAGGCAGTTTTCAGGTTTTTAAATAACGTTAACCATCGAGAGTATGCAGTTAAATTAAATAGGACGATATCTCATTTAGCATGAAACTGCAACTGAGGTCAATCATAATATGAAATATATTCCTGTTTTTCTTATGTTGAAAACACCGTTTAAAGAGATGTACATGAAACTAAAATATTAGGAGAGAACTTATGATGATATTTAAACAGTATACGATTATCACATACTAGTAATCCTAATTTGTTTGGTAAACAGGCTTATTGCAGGAACAATTCTTTCATTTCAACCATACACATGCATATCATCCATACCAAAATACCATAAATCTGTTATGGGCAATATAATGAACTTTATCGAAGACCATCGCACTACATCGTGACCATCGCACTACAGCGTGACCATCGCACCTTTGAGTCCTACATAATGACAATAAAATTATAGAAACACATGGAAATATTCTCTTGAGATTCTTTCGAAAAGGCTACTAAATGTTCATCACTATATACAGTCAAACTTTGAAATATCGTAGCCAAAGTATGTAAACTTCCTTAAATTAACGACATCTATGAGGTCAGATGAATGATGTATAATTTATTATTTGTGTTATGATTTAAGGTGGTACCCAACACCTTGACTAACATTAATTTGGCTCGTTTAATTTTCATAAAATTTTGACAAAATGTTTACTTTGACCCTTTGACAAAAATATAAAAATTTCAAAAAATTTGAACCAACCACTTTATCAGAAAAATTTCTTTGGTTATATAGCAGTTTGACAAACACTAATTTTGATCATTGAGAAGCTTAATATTTCCTTAACAATACAACGTAATTAAAACGTTTAGCTGATTTTTACAGAGTTATCTCCCTGTAGTGTTAGGTACCACCTTAAGTGAAATATATAAAGAATGTAACCATTCTTCATATAACAGAATTCTCGATAGAGTTAACTTCATAGTATGTCATTTACTTTTCAGAAACAGACAAGTTCTCCTAATACCATTACAACATCGCCTGTCAACGTAAGTCTGCACAAAAAGAACGAATTTCAAAAAGGGAGATAACCATAATATTATTACTTTACTCAGTTTTATGACTTTTATCATTATATCTTTAAATGCATAAACACGTACTAGAAAGTATTTCGTTTTTATTTGAAACAGGAAAAGAAAGCCTATCATCTTTGTTTTAATTCGAATCACCAAAATGCAAGTATAAAAAATATGAAATTTCACAATGCTTCGATAGAAACAATCATAAAAACTTATTATATTTCTGTTTTCTCTTTTTTTTTTTGTACATTTGCTATCTCATATTTCATGTAACATCTGCCTTTTAAATTAATTTTGTATTTTTTATTATTGAAATTTGGTGTACGTTATTAAAGTTTAGTTTATGCATCGTTTCCTATTTATGTAACTTTATAAGTTTATAAATTCCTAAGCATAGAGTTGGTGTATTTATCATCATTGTATTTACGTAATTAATAAATTGGAAGTAAACATGTTGATATTGATTACAGATAGACAACAATGTTTTCCTTGATTCTTCGCTAGATATGTCAGATGATTCTAAGGTTCAGACAATGTTAAAAGAGGTAAATACATTCGAAGAGCGTTTTATTCATTAAGTTTTTTTTGGGGGGATATATACCAGTTAATAACATTAAAGGAACCTATTTTACTGCACTAGATGCGCATTTCGACAATAAATGTCTCTTTAGTGATGCTCGAGTCCAAAATATTTGAAAATCCATAACTTATTAAAAATATGAAGATTAAAGAATTAAGATGTAATTTTAATTTTCTATTTCAAATGAAGTACCCGAGTCTCGGCACCTAAGGGCATTATGTTTTTTGGTCTGTGCGTCCGTTCGTTCGTCCGTTCGTCCGTCCGTCCGTCCGTCTGTCCTGCTTCAGGTTAAATGTTTTGGTTAAGGTAGTTTTA